AGAGGGTTTGTTTTGTTGTTGAGTTCAGTAGGAACACCAAAGCAATTAAAGAGCACCTATGATTCTGAGAGCAATGCCCTTGACATTGGCTACTCTGAACAGCATCCAAAGCAATTAAGCCACAGACCAACTTTGTTGCTGTTGGGAAAGAGATACAAATAATGATGATGTACACAAGGCCCGCACAAAGGCCCTACTGCATAATAGTGAACATGAATGTATTCACACTACACAACACAGTGCTGAATATTCTAACGTTAAAAAAAATCAATTCAAGAGCAGTGGAACAGGATCTTTCAGGATTAAATAGCTCCCACGAATTGCATCAGACTGCTCACTGAGATCCTTTCCAGATACAATGAAAAATGGTAACAAGTTATGCAGAGGTCCTCATCCTTCTGGCCAGTTACTAAAATATAACAGAAAGATTATTTTTTCCCAGTTCCTCCTCTCCTAATACTACTACAAAGACAAGAATATTAATGACACAACACATAAAAGAAAATCGGAAGTGCTTCACATGTTCCTTAGATTCTTCTGAAAAAATGAAACCCGAGAATCTTTTTCTGAGAAACGAAACTCGGGAAACACAGGAACTAAACTCTTACAAAACTGAAGAAGAGAACTCTGAGAACTCATGGACTCTTTAAAACTACACTAGGGCTTACCAGTTGTAAATTACAGGTGCACAGCTCTAGTAAACCACTGCTCCCAGTTAGGGAAAGCACCTCCAGGTACGCCAAACACCTGGGCTCTTCCTCAGCTCCCCCTATCTCACTCGATTTACAGAGACACTAAGTAATTATGCGCTCAGAAATACTCCCAAAGACACCTTAACTCACAGAACATCAGAATAGTCAGGGATGGAAGAGACCTGTGGAGATCATCTAATCCAACACCCTGCCATGGTTCAGCCACCTAGGGCACGGGATCCCGGCGCGTCCAGGTGAGGTTTCAGTATCTCCAGAAAGACATCCCTCCAGACAGGGATCCTTTTTCCTCTTACCGCTAAGGACGAGGACGGGCCAAGCAAACCAAGCCCCTAAACCGAGGCGCCGGGCTCGGCGCCGGGAGCCCGCGGAGAGCAGCCGCCCCCAGCCCGGCCGCGCAGGGGCAGCGAGCGCAGCCGCCCCCGGCCCGGCGGCAGCGAGGCCCCCCCGCGGTCCCTCAGGATGCGTGGCAGGGCCGCCAGCGCCCCACGCGGGGCGGGAAGGGGCCCCGCACCGGCCGCACGGAGCGGCCGCAGCGCCGCCCGGGCCCGGCGGGGACGGGCAACGCGAGGCCGCGCTCACCTCTCTGGGGGACGGCGCCGCGGCCTGCAAGGAGGCGACGTAGCGCTCCACCTCGGGCTTCGTCCGCCTCATCATGGCGCCGCGGGGGCGGCGGGGACCGCGCCCGGCCTCTGTCGCGGCGGAACGCGCCTTCCCGGCCGGCCCGGCGGCCCTGGCCCGGCGGCTGCGGAGGGAAGGAGGAAGGAAGCGCAGGAGCGACGCGGCCGCCGCGCGTTACGCAAGTTCCCGCTCAGCCGCGCGGCGCGCGCAGCCCCGGCGCGTGCCGCCTCCCGCCCCCATATCAACGGCCGGGGGGCGGGGCCGGCCGGAGCTGCGCATGCGCACGGGGGGCGCGGGGGCAGGGGGAAAAAATCTGTCCTGGGAAACTGTGAGAAACCAAATGATAGCATTTTCTCACCTAAAACTATAATAAACTCGCCTCAGTAATATATAAAAATATATATGGTGATTATATATTTATCACCTAATTAATATACTCTAGATATGTTTATATCTATGTATATATGTGTGTGTGTATATATATATACATATATATATATATATATATATATATATATATATATATATATTTAGGTAACAAATTTTCCCCTAAGGTTAAGTAACAGTTTTGGCATCCTCACTATAAGAATGGCTTGAGGACGTGAAACTGTTGGAGCAAGTCCAGAGGAGAGACACGAAGTTGCCAGGGGGACTGGAGCATCTCCCCCTCGAAGACAAGGTGATGAAGGTGGGGCTGTGCAGCTTGGAGAAGAGAAGGTTCCACGAAAACTTCATAGCAACCTTCCAGTATCTGAGGGACCTACAGGGAAGCAGGAGAGGGACTTTGTCTGGAACTGTAGTGATAGGACAAGGAGTAATGGGTACAATTAAAAGAGGAGCAGTTAAGGTTACCTACAAGGAAAAAATTATTCACTGTGGTGGCAGTGAAGCACTGGCACAGGCTGCCCAGAGAGGTTGTGGGTGCCCATCCCAGGCAGTTTTTTAGGCTGGGTTGGATGGAGTTCTGAGCAATCTGGCCTGGTGGGAAGGGTCCCCCGTTAAAGGCTAGATCTTTAAGGTCCCTTCCAACCTGTACTATTCTATGATTCGATACTTCAGAGCAACTATAAATTTAATCTGTAAGCATAAGGGCCTTCTTACTGAGATCCAGTGTTCTAGAAAATGAGTCTCCAAATATTGTAGCAGCTGTGGTGACAAACCTTTTTTTCCAAGGACTGTGGCTAGTATAATTAAACAATTAAGCTCTAAAACACAGCTGGGAACATGGACTAAAAGATAGACCAGCAACCCTCAAGGCAGGACAGATTTGCAAGTTTTACAGGTTTGGTGGCTCGAGGATGAGCCCTGTGGTGAAATTCCCTGCAGGAAGCCTCAGATTCTACTCACTGGAATTAGCCATCTTTCCTGCCAGTTCAGATGCTTTGGTCAAAATGAGGCCACTGAGCCATGTCTCTGAAGAAGTGTAATTAAAAATTTCTCCAGTTCTCAATCTCAAACAACCCATTGACAGTCACAGGGTTCCTGCTACACCTTAAATATACTGACAGCCTCGCAGCTCTTACCCTCTTTGCAGGGAAAATAAGGAAACATAGCCAACTCTTTCTTTAAGACCAGCAGCATCCATGTAAGACCCTGACTGAAAGAATTAATGCTTTCTTTTATTCTTTCTTCTATTAATGGTGATTTATTTAGACACTGCATTTAATTCTGCAAAAATTTTTTTTTTCTCTGTGCTTTTAATAGTGTACCTGCAACTGGGATTATCAAACAATTTATTATCTGCACCTGCCAAGCTAAGTAATGGCAGTGTTGGTGGTGGTGCAGAGGAGAACATCAGAGTTTTCTTGACTCACTGGAGAATATTACTGCATTTAGCTGATGGGGAGGCATGGGAAATTGCCTTCATATAGACCAGGTCCTGTACTTTGGCTCTGGTCACTCTCACCCGGTGCTGTAGAAGTGGCACTCCCTGTGCTGTCCCTGGTGGTCGCAGCAGCAGGCAGGACAGCCCAGGCTCGAGAGGTGTCCCTGCAACCTGACTGGGTGTGCTCACTGTACTGGGCACGGGACAAAAGGCTTTAGGCTCAGCTCTTCCCCCCACAGCGATGTCCACTGGGCTTTTTGGAGTGCTCCCTGCTGTCAGCCTGGCCAGGCTGTCTAAAGGAACCTCTCTTGCCCATGCATAATTGAGTTGATCCGTGCAGCAGAAAGGGACAAAGCTCCTGAGGCATCCATTCCTAAATCCCAGGCTCACGGATTACTCGACAGACTTTACAGGGGGCCATGGGTAGAAAAACAGTACTAGAAAACATCTTTTAGGAAAGTATGTGCAGCTACTCAAATATTTATAATACTTTGGGCCAGGAAGTGAGCTTCAGCACCAGACGTGTAATTGTCCAGGCTGCCTAATTACTAGCTTGCTTCCTGGCTCTGCCTTGCACTGCTTTTAACTAATCCTCTTCGTGACCATGTGCAGGGGTATTGTACCAGTGACAGTTCATGGCAAAGTTCCCAAAAGAGTAGTTTGGATTTGGGGAACACTCCACTTGAGATAGGACTCCAGTAATAATATTTTCACCATGAGAGTGATGAAGTACTGGAACATACTACCCACAAAGCCCTGTGAAATCTCCTTGCATGGTGATGTTCCCAGTTTGGCCAAGCAAGACCTTCTGTATGATGCAACTCTGAAGTTAGACCCACTCTGAGCAGATGGCTGGGCTAGCTGATCTCTAGAGGTCCCTTCCATCCAACATTTTTCCACACTTCATCAGGCTTTGAACCCTCAAGTACCCTCAGATGCTTTGAGTGCTGCATCCTGGGGTCTGACACACACACTAGAGTTCATGAAACAGAAGGTGCTGCCTTGGTGAACTGCAGCACAGTGTTCACCATCAGGAACTTGGAAATGGAAAAACCCAGCCTGTGCCAGGCCCCAAGGGCCACCAGAGAGCAGGGAAATCTGAGGCCCCTGTGCTGCAGATGGATGTAACCCTGAGCAATGTGGATATGAGCCAGGTCTTGTCATTCAGCTTTGGGGCTAGTGACCCTTCCCAACCCTGAGCAGTAAGGCTGGGCACACACAGGCTGAAGGAGGAGATGTACAGGCAGTGTAACATGAAAACCTAGAAGTCAGGTTTAACTTCAGGAGGAAGCAAGAGTGTGTGTGGGCTACTGAATCCGTGGCACAGTCCAAAATTCCAATAGGGCTACTGTGCTAGTTAAGTAAACAATTTTTGAGGACATTTTAAGCTTGTATAGTCTTCAACAGGGTCAGAGACTGACTACATTTATGAATGTTATGGCATTCAATAATTATGTAGGATAAAATAGCCAAAAAATACCCTACCTAGTAATAAACTGGAAGTTTGGGGTGACAGTTTCGTTACAGTGAAAACAGGAGAGATAAAGTTAACAGGAGGGTGTATGTTTTACACTCAGATGAGATACTTTCTTTAGGAAAACCTAGTGACTGTGCCAATTGAGAAAATATCCAGAATAATCAAGCTATTCCTTATGAAACAAACTGTGGTTTCTTTTATGAACCTTGGAACTCCATACAGACATATGCCTTTAGGAAAGGCTTATATCTCCTTTAAATCAAGTTAATAAGGAAGTATTTACATAGTCACAGGTAAAAGCTCAGGAATCCAAGAGAGCCTTACTGCTTTCCCACCCATCTCAAGCATTTATTTCAGAGAGGCAATACAAGGTTACTAACATGGCCTTTATTGATGACACAGGAAAGCAATTGTTTTAAAGTAACTAATTTTTCATAAACAGGAAAGAAAATTTTACTTCCTGTTACATAATTACATAACATCTGTTTAAGTCACTAATGTATAAAAATAAAAAAAAAAGTTTGCATACTTCGTACCATCAAGAAGACCTAAGTAGACGTATTTTCTATAACAAAGGGAAAAATAAAACAAATTTGCATGGACAGAACTCAACAGTATAAAACAATTAAATGTATGTTATAAAGAATTTTTATTATTTGTAAGCTCAGTCCTTGAGGATGGCTAAAGAAGTAGATCCTAGCAGGATCAAACCTTGCATATTTACACACAGAGGTGTAAAAGTAATATTGCCAGTTAATTGAAATACGCATTTTCAGCATTGTTCTGAAAATCAATGAAGTCTAGAAGCTAGATTTTAAATGCAGATGTTCACATTTCAAATAAAGTACTTCTTGCATCCTGTATAATTAAGGCAAAGTATGTTATCTTTTGAAAATACCTTCTCTAATAGTTTCTGCATAAAAATATGAAATAAAATATAAAACTATATATATTTAATGGTACATTGTTATGTATGGTCCAGCAGAATAAGGCACAAAAAGTAAATAGAATGCAAAAGCATATATAGAAGTTAATGTGTTATTTTAAGTGGAATATAGCAAAATTCAAGTAGTTCTGAGTATGCTCATTTCTTGCAATAGGAATACATTTTTTTATATAAGTATCTCATGCTAAGCCTGATGTAGAAACATTCCTCATATAAGCATAATCTATCATGTTTATAATTTTATGTATGTCGTTTGTACAGTGGCTGTATTTAGAAATGTGATAGTTTTCAAACCATCTGAGACAAGGCTCCTTAATGAGGTGACTTGGCCTGAACTCCAAGTGTGAATTTTTCCATGAGGCAAAGTGTCCTGGTTTCCTGCCCAAATCACTTGAGCTGGGTGAGTTTTGTCTGCATGCTTAATATGAAGGTTAATATTTTCACTAACATAAATGACAATACACATCCCTAAAGTTGGGCACATTTGCAAAGTTTGTTTTCACAGGTGGTGTTCACAAGCAAATTTTCTCTCTCTGTAGAGTTCCACAGAGAATTAGTGTACAGAATGGGCCACCTGCATCAGTACAATGGTATTATTGGTCAAAAACCTTTCAGGTGAGCTGGTATTTATTTTGGAAGTATGGTCTGTTTGTCAACAAGTAAGCATCATGTATAGAGAACAGAGAATCTTAATATATTTTGTGTTGATAGAAGGCATGCATCAGCATCTCTTGTCTGACTGCAGCCTCAAAGCAGCAACTCCCCTCTACCCCACAAGTAGAAGTATCTCTAAGACTTTCACAAAGGAAGAGGAGAGCAGATGAAGTCTTTACTTCCTTCCCAAAGTTTCAGCTAATTTCTTCAGTCTTTTCTTCAGCTCTAGAGGAAACTTCTCGTAACATTTTTTGCAGACAGGCTTCATATCAAACTCAACAAATTTATTCCTAAAACAACAAAGCAAAAGAAACAGACAAAGTTTTAGCAGATGAGATAGTGAAAAAAGAATTTAAAAAAATCTCCTATTAAATGTGCACAAGCAAAAAATTAGCCTCCCAATTTATACAAATACACTAAGTTATAAGTTCTATACACTGCAGACAGTGATTACAATACCCTGTTGAGCAAGCTATGCAGATTTTACCCAAAAGCTCATATTTATTAACCGTGTAATTTAGAAAGCTTTTCAAATCTAATTGTAGACTAAACATAAGATAATGGAATAACCAAGTTAGTACTTCAAGTTGCAGCTGCGTGAAAAATGTTTTGGTTTTGACTGCCATAACTCCATGCAAAAGTGCAAAAAAAACATCCTTAGGACTAACCACAGAAGAAAGGAGCAGAGGTGGCGGTGAGAAGGAAAGGAAGTTTACAAACAGATTGGCTTTTTCTTTTTCTGCTTCTCTTTATCCTTTGCGTCACGTTCCCGTTTGGCAAGTCGTCGCTTAAATTCATCGGGCATTTTCTCATAACAGTGTTTGCAGACAGGTTTTAGATCAATTTCAACAAACTTATCCCTTTAGAGTTAAACAAGAAAAAATAAAGGATGGAAAAGGAGAAGAGTTAGGAAGACTAACTGAAGGAAGACCTGAAGAGACAGTGGAAAGAGATGGAAAATACTGAGTGGAGCAAGAGGAAGAGACACTTATTTCCTTGATGTTGTTTACATGTTTTTCATACAGGAACAGCTACACTATAGCAACATCTACACTTTGAAGAGAGCCACTGATGTGTGTTGAAGACATCACACTTAACCATAAACTTACTTGAGGGTTAACTTAGTGTTGCAAGTTGAACAAGCGAAACAGTTCACACACCATGCCTTATTCAGAGCAGACACGACTAGGGAGATGGGAAAAAAGAAATCATTAGCCTTACCAATAAAAAAAAAGTGATTACAAAAATTTTAAGTTTACATATTCATGAGGTGTGAAGAACACTCATTGATTCTTGTATCAAGGATCACAATTACATGGCCAGACTGGCGAGGCACATGTTAGAGTGTAATGAGCAGGACTGTGAAGCATTGATACAGCTGTCCCTGAGGCAAGACCAGCTTAACCTATTTCTGCCTCCTATTTTTTGCTTCCACTTCATCTCATATCCAGCTGATCTCAGGCAATGGTTCTGTGAGGCCATGTTCCAACTTAATCAGGAAATGCTTCCAGCTGAAGACCAATCCAGCACAATTGTGTTTATGTTTTCATACAGTTTCATTTCTCAGATCCAGTTCAGACTGCACTGCAATCAACAGTTGCACTTGCCCAGCTGAAGTAAATAATGTGAAGCCAGCAACCAAACACTGCTGGTAAATTAGCACTACCAAGGTGAAAAAAAAACTGGACTCTCTTTATTCTTTGTGTTGAAGAGAAAGTAACTATTTCCTATTTGTTCTGTAGGTAAATCCAGTTCCTGTTCTTTCTCTTTTTCAGTACAGCTTCCCAGTTTCCCCTGACAAAATTCTCCTAAGTTAGAGAATGCAGGATAATATTTTTCTTATAATGTTTTTCTCACTTGATCTCTCAATGGTTTTTTCATGGTATTTTGTCAACAACAAGGAAAACCAAAGCATTGTCATGCAGAGGGTTTTTCCTGCACTATGGGGCAAGCATGTCCACAGATACACAGTTATTCCACTACTTTCCAGAATAATACTAGACAGGTGAAAGTCCTTGCTCCCAAGCAACCTTAGTAATGCGGTCATAGACACCCTCCTGAAAAACTGCTGCCACAGATATTTGTTTCACCCAACAGGGAACAATATGGGATACCAAATTTGTGACAGCTAACTCAAAATTTGTATGCAGAGCTGAAAGAGGAAATGTAATTGAAGACATACACTGAAAATAAAGAAATTAGTGTATACTGTATTATTTTCAGTTCAGAGACCAAAACTTACATTATGGGTATCAGAATATATGATGAAAGGTTAGAATCATACAGAGATGTAGTTATCAGAAAAGTTCCATTTCTACTCATTCCTGTAGAATTTTCCTGAAAATGAGGACTCTTTCCTCTAAAGCATTTTGGATTGTCATTCTGCAGGCATAGTGCAGTCCACAAAATCTAGGGAAAGCACATCTACAGGATGCAGATGGCTTACCCTATAGTTACATGACTATAAACTAGTTTATGTCTCTTTTTGAATGTTAGAAGCTTCCTCCTGCTTTGCTAATGCCTTTGGCTTAGATGAAGCTAACATAGTATACACTTTGGACAGGATAAATAGGCATATAATGCCACATTATTTCAGGTAGAATAATTTGCTTTTGGCATTTCATCAGAGCTAGTTATCCAAAAAAAACCCAAAAAAACCCTCAAACCCACCTCCTTCTCCCAAAAAACCCAATTAAACAATAACAAACCAAACCAATTACTTGCAGTTCTGCCTTTATAGGACATATATTTCCAAGTATGATCATTCCTGGTTTTGTGACATTATCATAAGCCTAGATTTTCAAAAGACAGGTGCTTCAAATAGGTAAATATATCCAGGATTCAAGCTAACATAATGGAAACAAGGCATCTAAAAAAAAATTCCTAACAGTGCCTACCTATGTCTTTTATATCTAAATATTTTTCAAATTTGGCTCAGGATCCACAAATTCATTTGTGGAGATGCCTGTATGATCCTTCTTACCCTTGCATGTGTTTTTTTTTGAAGGTGGTGTGGCAGGGAGTGACTTATGAGCATCTTCCAGCACCCCTGGCCTCTGATGTCACTAAGGGGTTTCACAGTTGTCTTTGGCCATGGGGTGTTCTTTTATCATCATGAAATGATGGTAGGTTTTCCTAACATTTGGTACCTGACTAATCAGCTCTAATTTAATTTCCAGTGAAGAGAACATATGTTTTTGTTTTAATGAAAACTGGGCTGGTTCCCCCTTACTTTCACTTTTGAAGAGAATTTCCATCAAAAAGGAACCTTAAGGAAACAGAGAAATGCTTACCATCTCCTTCAATCACACGGTTGCAATGGAAACAAACATCACCAAACAGCTGAAAAGAGAAGTAATGAATTTTTAATATAATGATTTTATTGAAGGTAACTTATCAAACTAGTAAAACAACTATGTTTCAGCTGATGGGCACAATTGCTTTCCTGTTTGTTCCAGTGAAATAAAGAGAATGCTGGCAAGTCTGGTTTGGTTTTCCAAGTACATTTTACATCATCTTATCACAAAAAGTCTTGATAATATTGAAGATGAAAACCTTTATCTACCTTTGATTCTCTGTGAGTATGATTTTGTTTTGTTTCAAGATTTCTCTAATCCTGAAGATTTGAAATACAGCAGTTGGTGTCATGTACTCATAGTTACTAACCAGAAAATGGTGTCATGTACATATGGTTACTAACCAGAAAATGTAACATTTGGACTAAGATGCATGACTAAAATAATGCATTACTGTAACTGTAAGAAAATTCTATCTTTATTAAAAAAAAAAAAAAGGAAAATTTCAGACAAAAAAAATAATTCTTTTTCCAGGCTTAGCATTCATCCACAATATAAGAAGTGCCAAAAACTTCATGTATGTATGTTTTTTTACTGTAGTAGTTAACCTCAGAAAAGACATCCACTCTACTACAGCTCTTGTCTGGTGCACAGACTTGGCCCATCCCAGCTGCAACACTATTACTATGAACGTCACAGCATTTACAGTCTGCAAGTGTGCCAGCACCAACCATCTGCCCTCCATCACTAATGACCAATTAAGAATCCATCTTTAATTAGCAGGTGCCATACAACTCCCAGGTGTAACCTCTCTCAGGTATTTATGTAGGCAAGGGAGGTGAATGTGACGTGACACAGATGGCTTCCAAAGAAAAATATGTCCATGCATCGTGGGGTGGCTCCCCATCCAAGGGCGTCTGGAGAGGGGTGGTGCTGCCACATGTAACTTCTACATAAATGCAAGTGGTCACTAGAGGGTGTCTTCTGACAAATTTAGTCGTGGAAGTCTTTATCAACCTAATGACTGAGCAGGAGCACATATCAACACACAATGTCTTAGAGCAGCAGCTGCAGGGAAACCCACGGGACTCACTGGGGCCTCCAAACGCAGTCAGTGAGTGGCAAATCTTCTTTATTTTCTTAGGAGAGATTACTTGTCATTAGCTGCTCTGATCCACAGACACGTCAAAGCCCTGTAACAGCTCTATTTAAGTACCACTAAGCTTGAAGAACAACTTAATGCTGATTGTCCTGGCCAGCCTTTGTGAAATACCTGCAGTTTTTAATGCCCCACAGATGAAGAGGGAAATCTGTATAAACTAAATGCAACAGAACATACGCTAATTGCCATTACATCCAGAGGTGCCTTTAACAAAACAGAAGAATGTTCATGGTTTTCCATCTATATCTAATAAAACCTATTTGTAATTTACCAATTAATGCCATTTAAAAATATGCAACCATACCTGATTGTAGTGGGTTTCACAATATGCCAAGCCTTTTCTCTCATAATGACGATGACCCAGGAATGGTTTTTCACATTTTGCACAAACAAAATGCTACAAAGAAAATTACAATACATTTTTTTATCTTTTGGAAGTAATGTTATTTTTTCTGGAAAGCAAACTAACCATGTCCACTACTTGAACATGGCTGAAGTCTACTAAGCCATCTTGAAAAGCAGAGTTAAAACTTTTGTTTCTACATTTAGGCCATTAAAATATTAATTATTTTAATGTCTTCAACATTTCAATCCAAAAGTTACAAAACAAAATCAAGCAATGGAGTCTCAATTTTTATCAATGAACAGAATTAAGAGTTGTTGAATAATTTGCATTATCATTGTACCCTTGTGAAGAAAGCATTTCCTAGAGGAGACTTTTACAAGATAACAGAAGAAATAAACAATTTATCTAATTAAAATGGAAGATGTGGAACTAAATCTTGTATGTGGTCTTGAAATATGAACTCTCACGTGAACTGTTAAAGAAATATGTACCTGGGGTATTATGATGCTTAGTAACACGGTTGGCACAGATTTGACTGTTTTTCCACATGAACTGCTTTGAGCTCTGAAATTTTATTTTGTAAGGACCTTGCTGGGCTTCCTTTGAATTACTGATTTTAGTTTCACACTCAAAGCTCTCTGTAACGTGATAAGTAACTCCTATTTCACAGTGGAAGACTGGCCACAATAAGGTTGAAGAGGGATTTGGAGAAGGCATTTAGAGAATCATTGCTGCAAACTTTGAGAATCCTTTCATTGAAATTGAACAGAATAAATACAGATAAATATGCTAAGGTTTACATTTGCAAGAGAGATCATTTAGCATCTGATGTTTACCTCCACATGCCATTGTTTGCCCATAGCATTCACCACACGGCCTTCAATTGGTCTCCTACATGCCCCACAGATGGGGACACCCATTTTGTCATGGCAGGGTAAACAGTAGAGTTCTCCTTTCAGCTCACGAGCGTCAGCAGTAAGTTCCTTCCTGTTCAGAAGTTAATGAATTGAGAGCATGAATAAAGGCACTCAGAAATGTCAACTCTTGAGTTTCCACTCTCAAGTGAAAAGTGGAGCGAAAAAAAATCAGCATTTGCTTTAGAAATTATATTTATACTACACTAATGCAGCTGCATCAAATATAACAATTCAACACAGTTCACCCCTGATCTCAGTAAGCTGAGAACAGGCTGCAAAGCAAGGTGCACTGAGTCTCTCTGGAAACAGCTACTGACTTATTGTCATTCTGCTTAAGCAGTGCAAGTCTGTGTGTGAAAGCTGAACATGTTTGGTTTATATTCTGGCACTTATCACCAGTTTATTTTAGATTTGCATAAGTGCAACTGAAAGTAAAATGTAGTCCTCTATATCTAGTTACATTTTCCTTGTATCAAACTTTAGAGAAAGAGAACTAGAGACCTACATGAGCTAGACTTATTCATTTCCCATTGCAGAATCTTATAAACTCTACTTTTTAGTAATTTGCATGGTTAGATACTGAGAACCTTAAGCTAAACCTTAAAAGTGACTGTAATCACAAATACACACAAATACACAATCACTCTCAACTGGTTGCCACTGATGTAACACTACATACTGTTATTCAAATCAGCCTTTGCTGTGGCACTGAGATAGTAGCTTCCTGTGCAGCAGAAATAAACTAAGAATCCATGCTATGTCCTATAATGCTCCATGCTCCAATGCTCATCTCTGCATAAGTGCAGAATGTAGAAATATGCAGTTGCATGTGCTGCAGTTGCAGAAGATGATAAAATGAGATGGGAGAAGGCTTCTAAAAAAGACAGGCTTTAAGAAGAGAACAAAGTTTGGATGCCATTGAACTAAAAAAAAACATAAGGCAAGATAGTAATTCAAGCAACAACAAAGAGCCACTTCTCCCCCTAGCAGAATGGTGAGCTATATAATTTCACTATTATAGAAATTATATCTGTGCCAATGCTTGGTATTTTGTAAGGTACTGCCTTGTCCTGCAGGGTCCAATCTTTTTTTAGTCCTCAGCAGGTCAGCTGTTGTCTGAGCCCCACAAGCCAAAACCAGTAACACACATCTGGCCACAAGACACCCAAACACCGCCCCCTCTTGTGAGTTGTACAGGACAAGTTTCCACTTTAAATTGATAAAGCAAATAAGGCCAGCATTTTGCTGTTTCCCATTGCAGAACTCAGGTTACCCGCAGTTTGCACAGTTGAAATGATCAGGGTGATAAGGATCGTTTTTGAATATGAGAGGCTGTTCATCAATAATAGCATGACACTTCTGGCAAATGTACTTTCCCAGGCCTCTGGCTTTTTCCTTGTTATGGCAAGGACGGCAGAGATGTCTGAAACAGCATAAAAAAAGAAAGGTAAGTATTGCTACCAGGTACTACAGTGCAAAATATAAACCAAAAATCTCTCAGAACCTCATTTCAATCAGCTCTTTTTTGAGTCTTGTTAAAACAACTTCCTTGCTAAGGCAAAACAAGTTCAAAGCACCGAAATGATTGCCCAAGTTCCGAGCGATCATTTAATTTTCTGTCACCACGGGAGTGGGTATCATTTCTTCAGCTGAGTTAAAGCTGTATTGAAACACAGAAAACAAGGTTTCTTATAGATTCTCATTGATGAATGTTTTACTTTCAAAATCTTAAAAATTTAGATTAAAAGCTGTATGAGCACACAGGTCCTTCTTCTGTAGATAATTCTGTATATTGTATTATACATAAGAAGCCAATAGCCATATAATCCACTTGTAAAACATTCTTTTGATCATAGCTGGCAAAAATATCCTACTCTGTGAAGGGTCCCACTGAACATTAAGCAATTGTTATTAAATATGGTGCCAAACTAGACCAAAATTGAAGAACCAAGTTGGAAAAAGAAAGTAAACATTTTTATTAAAAAAAAATACAATGCTTCTGTGTCTGAAAGTTTTCTCTCTTATTACATATAACAATGATCCCAAAAGGTCACTGGGTAAAGAAAATGTTTGCCATGAAACTTGGTGTTGAAGCAGGCAAAATGTCAATATTTTAAGATCTTGTGGTTTTGTGATGCCCAACTAGACCATATCACAGAAAATACTTCAGTTGCTCCATTTGAGCTGGAAAGCCTCAGGAACCAAAACCTCTCAGTCCCCCACTATTAGTTCATTTAATTTATGATCAGTTAACAGAAGGAAGGGTGGAGATTTACCTGCCAGCATTCTTGACAAATCCAATATCAGCCAATACTGCTTGGCAGATATCACAGCAGAAGCACTCTGGATGCCAGCTATTGTTCATGGCTTTAATAACACGACCAATAATGAACTCACCTGTAAGAAACACAACACCAGGATGTAAAACACCATACTAGACAAACTTAAAAGTAACTCACAAATGAATCACTACAATGACTACAATCATCATTCCTTTCCTCACCCTAAAATCTGGTAGGACACATTGCTTTCAATATCACAGTTCTGATTCCAAACCCTGGAATTTTGGGTTTGTTTGTTGTTTTTTGTTTTGGGTTAAAAGAAAATGTTTTTGCTGATAGAGGACCTTCTGCTATTTACGTACAAGTCCTTCAATGTGCACGCTCCACCTTCTCCCTGCAATAATCCTATTTTGGTCCCTTCACTGGTTTTACTTGTCTGTTCTCAAGCTGTTAAGAAATTGATGGAGTACTTAATACAGTAAGTGCTTTCTTGTGCCCTAATCATTTTTCTACTTCTCTTCTTTAAGAGTATGACAATGTTAATTTGCCTCGTACATAGCAGAGGTTTCTACTCCACTAGGACCAAGCCTTGAAGGTATTCTATACTCAAGGCACAACAGAACTGAACTTGGGTGGCTGTGGACATCCTGCAGAAAAACTCCCATGGGGTCCAAATGCAAAGGTGCAGTGAAGCTGCAGAACAGTCAATCCAACACACACAGCTTCTGACCTACCACAAAGAGTCCTGTCCCATAAGGCATTAAAAAAACAGTGTGAGAACTAATGTTTTGCATGCAGTGTGACTGTCCTGCACAGGCAGTGATGTCCATCACATGTGACCTGATTGTTCTCTATGCTGATGGACAGTGTAACAGGGGTTCTGAGCAGTGCAAAACGTGTTGGGAGCTCAGCTTCCCAGTGCTGTCAGAGGCTGAGTTCTGGCTTTGCAGAACAACTCCAAGAGCTGCCAAAGGGGAGTGATCAGGTAGGTACCGGTGTGGATGATAACATCCAGCATGCAACTCTGTAGCATTCCCATGAATTCATGGATTTGCAAGAACAAATCCAATGGACTCCAGACATGTCAGGAATGCTCAAGGCCTCATCATTGACAACAGCCTCAATGACTTTGTCAGTGTTTTATTAAGTACAAGCAGTGTAAAAGCCCAGCTCTGGGCAGGACCTTGATGATGTTTTAAGGGAGCTGGCAATACCAGGAGAGAGGATAGGAGAAGGTGGAGCTGTGCCAACCGTGCAGGAGAAATCCTGGAGATAGCATAGCTCCTCACAAATTGCCACCAACTCATTTCTTCCTCTTCCTCTGCTTGTTCACATCTGCAGCCTTAAATTCATAGTTCCATAGCATCTGCTTCCCTCTCCCTTGGTCAACACCTCCCTTAGCATCAACACCTCCCTCCACAAAAAGAAAGGCCTCACTGAGATAAATTAAAGCTTTAGCACCTTGCCAAAGGTGCCAAAGAAACACAAGGGCTTTCAAAGCAGTTTAGGAAATAGCCAAGTAATAACTTCCCAGTTCTGGCCCAGCAAAATGTGTCACACACAGGGGAAAAAGAAAACATGCAAGTGATTACAGTGCAGCAGATGTACAAGCATCTACATCAACAGTGGCAAATAAAAAGCAGTATCATGTAGGATGGATATTAGGCACTGAAGCTTGAAAGGTATTTGTTTCAAAAAAATCAGCAGGGTCCAGCTGACCATCACTTGATTATAACACTAGATGATGAATATTGTCTCAGGTTCTGTGAAGTAAGACAGCACATGTGGGTTACAAGAGTCAAAGCAGATGACAAAGTCTTGTTGCATGATTTCAGCTACATGAGAAGGGACAAATGTCAGCACATAGAGATGTACAGATATAAATAATCACAAGTATTATATATAATTGTATGTGCAATCAGGAGTTTATGAATGGTCTGTGCATTGGATCATTGGCTCAACAGCTAAATTATTTACTAAAAGAACTTTATTTTTTTTCAATAAATAAATTTTTAAATAATTTTAAATCCTACTGGTTTATGACCTTTAGAAAAAGCAACTCCCCAGTTTCTCTGAAGTCTAGCTCATTCCTGAAGTACAGATGCTCAGCTGAACATAAGCACCTCCCAGGAAACAGATACAAGGGCAGCACATCTTCCCCCAGTGACACTCCCATTTGTGATCAGTGAAGTATTTCACCTTAAAACTTACCACATTGATGGCAGCAAGGGGCAAAAAGCATTTGAAAATCATGTTCACAGTACTTCCTCCCTTCAAACTGCAAATAGAAAGAGGGATGAGGAACTTGCACTTAACATAAATGCAGTAACAGCCTATTGTGTTTCCAGATACAATTAGGTAGTAAAACAAGAGGAGCTGAGCAAAAGCAACCAGACCATGAGCTACATGTGCTAGGCATTACATCCACCCACCTTAATTCACCTACTAGTTAGCATGTAGTGTTAATAGCACATAATTTCTCCAGTACTGCTGAGAGGATAAGGCATTTTCTGTCACCCATTTACATCACAAGAGACGTCTGAATTTTGACAAACTACTGAAACTGAAGCAACTAAACACATTCTGAGCAGGAAACTAGCTAACAAACAGTCTTGGCCAGCAGGAGGGGAGAAGCATTTTCCTCAAACCTATTTGATGTCTTCCTCATTCTACATTTCCTGCCAGAATGACCCAGCATACCAGAGGGTGGAGGTTGGAGTAGGAAGAACACCCAGGGGCAGAAATCTTTGCAATTTATGGAGCAGTTCAGCCAAACCATGAAGGGAAATAAGCCTTTTCCTTCATGATGCTTATTTCATAGAATCATAAAATCATTTAGGTTGGGAATGACCCTTAAAATAATCAAGTCCAAATATTAAAGAGCAAAGTTCATTACATCGATCAAGTTAAATTGATTTTAAGGGATTTGAATTTTATCACAGCTTATGTAAGTTCAGCTACAGTTCAAGCTCCCATTGAAAAAAAACCCACATGGAATAAAAAGATTCAACAGCACTGCATTAGTAGCTTAGCCAAAGAATATGTAAAAACATGTAGGCAAATATGTGCTGAAATGAAGGGAAATGTTTTGATACCTTCAGGCACCATTATTATTAGATACAAATGCCAATGAGCATGTCAAAACCAGGTAGACAATATCAGGTATACTATAAAATGTTTGGATTTGAATGTCTCAGTTTAAACAGTGGAACAAGGAGGACAGCAGGAAACCTTGCTCCTTTCTTTTCACTGGGCCTAAGACAAAACCAAGTGAGTAGCACAAAATACTACCCAGAAAGTAAGTATTTGTGCATAGACAGAAAATACAGAAATGTGGTTCAAGATCACCTGTTGTATAATATGAAATGACAAGAATCTAATACAATATAAATATAATAAATACTTTTGCAACTGGCAGGATGGGGATCTAATAAAACATTTCACTAGATATTTATGGTTAGAAGAAAATTCCTGTGCCAAACCTGAATTGCACCTAATAGGAACAGAAAGACATTAACTCAGTACAGACCTTTTCAGAAGTCTCTGTCAGAAATTTATCAAGTGCTATTCCAGTGTAATACTCTAAAACAGATTACTTTTTAATTAAAAAAAATAATAATTGAGAGATACAGGGCTATTACTTTCTCAAGGAGTAATGGAAATTACTCATTCATTGTGAATTGTGCTTGCTTCCTGCATGATAAAATCCTTTCCAAACAGAAAAAAAAAACCTGAAAGCTTCCTGTTCTGTTTAAACAGGTGGTCCACTGGGGGATGCTTAGGTTTGCTTGGATTTCAAAGCCACCATATGTTGATCTGAACAGACCAAACAGGTTTTCTTCCCCTCTTTGTTTGCATCAGGCAGGTTGGTTTCCATTCAGTCTTGTTTCTATTTTCAACCTCTGCTCCTTTGTGCTGCCCTTTGTGGATGACCCAGCAGTTATGATCACAGAAAGCCTTGAGCTTCTGTAACAAATCTTACAGTACATAGTTTAGAAGCAAGCGTTTCACTGTTGTGTGCTGAAGGTCCACAAGGTGAATGGCCCTGCATAAAACCTCTCGCTGTGAAATAACCTCCATCTTACCTGCATGTTTTTAGCTAACTTAAGTGGAAAGTCATGCACAAAAACTGAGACTTTAGAGATTGTTTCTCTAAGGCAGCTTTTGGTAAAAACCATTTTAAGAAAACACTTGAGAATGGAAACAAACATGAACATCTCTTCTGCCATTACGAGAGGACTGTGCACTGCTACCTATAGAGAAATTCTTCAATAGCAGCTCTAGGGAATACATATCTTCCAGGTGGGGGAGTAGAAGCAGACCAGAATTGCTACCACTTCACACCCAACAGCAAAGAACAGAGAACTCTACTGGAATCTGCTTGTGCTAATTTTTGTTTAGATTGAGTGCATAAAAAAACTTGCTAAAATGATGCTACTGAGCAAACTGGAACACAAATCAAATACACCACACCCATAGTTTCTGTGCAACATTAGGCATGCAGGTCTCAGGAATCCAAACTATCATTTCTAACACAGGCCCAAGAGGACATCCACAAAACCCCTGCTATGCTGTGCAGACTCTAAGAAGTGGAAGGGCACCACTTGTGCCTGTGAGTGACTTGGCTCCAGTGCCACAGCAGAGCGAGCTGTGCTGAAGGGGAGGCTTGCAAAGGCAGCCCAGAGATCAGTCCTGCAGCACAGGAGACCTGACCAGTTCCACCCCCACCCGTGGAACACAATGTGAAGGCTTATCATGGCAGTGTTTGACAGCAAGTGTGATAAGCAGCTTAATGACTAACTGGGGGAACCCTACAAGGCTTGCTATAGGCAGGGGAACAATATTTGCCTTCCTAATTGCTAAGAGCTGGAAATCATTTCCAAGAAATAGTAGCTTAGCTAAACCAGGCACAGAGTAAATACAAGCTCATGCTGGGCAACCAACAATGCCTGTGTTTACCCACAGAACCTGCTCAGAAAAACACATTACCTGGCCACACCTCCAAACACATCCATCTTCTCAAAAAGTGCATTAAGCCAGTCTGAGGAAGATGTCCTTTCTGCCCATCTTCTCCAGTCTCAGTTTTTCCTGACAGTGATGCAGATTATCTCAAGTCTCTAAGCACTGTCAGGCACTCCTGAGCACTCACCAACCTAAGCCCATCTTCTACCTGCTCAGGGCTTTCCTTCCTCTCACAGAATCACAGAATGAGTCAGGTTGGAGGTGGGGTCATCTGCTCCAACCTCCCTCTTCAAGCAAGGTCATCCTAGAACACACTGCACAGAAAACTGCACCCAGATAATTCTTAAGTATCTCGAGTGAGGGAGACTTCACAACGTCTCTGGGCAACCTGTACCAGTGCACAGTAAAGAAGTTCTTCCCCATTATTAGGTGGAACTTCCTGTGCATCAATTTCTGCCCATTACCTCTTGTCCTATTGCTTGGCACCACCAAGCAGAGCCTGGCTTCCTCCTCTGACACCCTCCCTTCAGATAATTATATACATTGAGGAGGTTCTCTCTCAGTCGTCTCTTCTTGAGTTTGAACAGGCCCAGTACCCTCAGCCTATCCAACGTTATTTTACCCCTGTAATAATTGTGGCAAGAAGTATCTATACTTAACTGAAACTTTCCACTTTCCATGTAACATTTCTCAGGCTACCCAGCCTGAAAAAAAACCCCTAGCAACATTAACCAAAACATGTTTAGCACACAGTGCTATTTTAATTCCTGGGACAATCTAATGGCACTCACTTCTGCCTTACCGTCTTTGAGAGCAGCATGTTTCAGTAAGAGAGTGCTCAAAGACCAATCCTCATGAATATGTATGTTAACAAGGTAGCAGTAGGAAGCAAAATGCCTACATCCAGTGTATCTAAGCACCACTAGGATACTTGCCTCTGCCATGGAGATTCAGGTATGGCCACCCATGAGCAACACAGAGAGATTGTAATATTCCTGAACTATGTCTAAAAGTAGGGCTTTCTTTCTGCCGTAGTCTCCTCTAGAAGATACAGGCTGCCTAGAGCATGATTTCCCAAACTTTTATCTTTAAGGACCATTCCACTTTCTGAAAGAGGTCCCTGGAATGACTCATCATTTTTCGAGTTAAAAAAAGAATGAATAAAGCATTCATTATTAAGAGAAAATACATTTTATTAGTTTAAGACAATTTTATGAACATAATTACAAATATTTTAGTTTTGAAACGTTCCTATCACTTTACATTTGCCTCAGGTTTTAACGTGTCAGTATGGACTCTTTCCCAAGTCAGCTAGTATATATCAACAATTGTAATGCAACTTGTTAAGTATCTAGGGGGGTGTTCTTTTGTTTCTATTTAATTAATTCTGCCTTGCAGCTCAGCTTTTGATGTCTTATGGAACACTAGAGGCTAATTTACTACAATTTGTGTAACACTATCCCTAGAGCCTTTTGATCCTCAAACAAGGTGAGAAAAAGCAAATCCCCAGGAATCCCCTTAGCCAGTCTCTTTTGCAATCCACACTCCTCCCTCAGCCTCTCCTTATCACCGCATAACATGGCTCTGTAAAATTAGAAATGCTTCTATGGAAGATAAACTATTGTGCTCTTGCCAAAGGATGACACCTGTATGTGAGATCACAGAATTGTTCTTTTTACACTCTGCTCATTTTCCTTTTCAGATCATCATGTGACACAAATCCTGTAACTGCTACCCTAAGATGGATTATAAACTACAGGGCCTTATCTCTCTGACAGTAATTCCCTGTCTCACACCATCTATTGTTCCCTATACTAATCACTTTGTATTTTATGGACCAGTCTAAAGCTTTCATTACCACTTTGTGCTGAGCCACATTCTGAATTCCCACGATAGGGGAACGTAAAAGAAAATGAAACCTATTCCAAAATACCCTCCTAAGCTGAGGCAAATCAACCTGGAGTGAGAAATATTAATGTGATCAGGTCTTAACCCCTGAAAGTGTGTTAAGAACTGATAATTTTGAATGGTCTAGATTGTTAAACTTAAGAGTTGATCTTACACTGACCCTGTCTGGATCACAGCATGCTCACACACAGATCATCCCTTTTCCAAACTGGACTCATTTAACTCAGCAATAAACCTCCTATGGACCACAGGATGCTGGGATTTCCCTCTATATGACTTTCTTCTCTAAGAAGGATGTTTCTTGTGTATTTCTGGTATGATACATTAGATTCACAAGTTTCAGGGGGAAAAAAATGCACTGCGAAAAAGATCTCCAGGCATTTTTCTCTCAGTGCTGACAACACTGAGGTGCACATTTAAAGAACATTATATACATTGATGTCCTCCAAATTAGCACAGAAATGCTCCTGTTCTTTTTCTCCCTTTCCTGGGCAGACTCTTTCAGAGACCAGATCCTCCCATGGGACTTCCTAAGCTCTCCACCTGCCTGTAGCTACTTTTGCTATGGGAATGAAGGCTGAAGAGGGGGTCTGGGGACAAGAGGGCTCCTCTGCCCCCCTTACCTCATAGAAGAGCCCTTCGGGGAACTGCTGGAAGCACTGGGCGCAGACGAAGCACTGCTCGTGGTACAGCTCACCATTGCTGTTGACGATTTTCTCAGCAGGGGCAAAGCCCCCCCTGCAGCGCTCGCAGATGGCGTTGGCAAGAGCGTTGGCCATGTTGCTGTCATTCAAAAGGAAAAGAAAAAAAAGAAAATTAGCCGAAATAGACAACCACACTCATTGGTCATGGGTCTTCCCCCCACCCCTCACCAGGCCAAACTGCATCACCCTAATGCTGAGCTGCTCAACACAAGTTTTTCAATGAACTTCATGGCTTGTGTCACCTCCTCAGAAATAAAGCTGCCACTTCTCCCTGCTCCCTAACTCTTTAGAAACAAAATCTCTGTGATACACTCTAATTAACTGAAAACCCCAAACAGAAATGTTGTCAATACAGACACATTTACAGGCTTTTTTATGATGAAAAAAGACAGGCAATTCAAAGTACTATAAAAATTATGATATATATTAATATTACTGAAAATAAGGGCAAATATTAATGACGGAGGACTGGCATCACACAAGAAAACATAAAAGATTTATTGTATACCAATTCTAATAATAATAAATATATAAATTCTAAAATGTATATATATAACAGTATTAGTTCAGAGCTCTAAATAAACAATGTGAAAGAGCGTGCAGGATTTGGTGTGGCAGATATTAATGAAAAACAGAGTAGTTAAATAATTATCCTTTATATGAGCTCTGCATAGCTTGAAGTAATTTTACAAATTTAGTTTGAAGTCATGGGATTTTTGATTGGTTTATTAAAGTTTATCTCAGGGAGTTCAGCTCATCATTGCCAATCCACTCCAGGGCCAAGGGGGAGGGTGGATTCCCAGCTCTGGCTGCCCCACTGTGACCAACACACAGGCCAACACAAGCTGGCAAACCCATGCCAGGGATGCAAAGAAATATTGAAGTAGCAACCTTGGTTGCTTCTCAAAGGCACAGGACCAAAACAATGACAGAGTGATAGCTGTCCAGAAGACACTACAGCTGTGCTTCAGTTAATTAAAGCCAGAAAAAGGCTCTTTTGATTTTTCCTTTACAAACATTTTGTAACTCATATGTAGACTCTCAAAGCTCTGCCTTTCAGGATCATCCTGCTGCCCTAGTATAACATGATAGCAGAGAGCAAATACAGGGCAATGGTCTGGTTTCACTACAATGTGATGTCAGCTGACAAAACCAATGACTCAAAATTTATCTGGAAGGTTATTAGACAAGTGACATTATTTGAAACACATGTGCATGCATGCACACATTTTGATACAGCTATCATGCTGTGCCTGTAAGTGCAAAGCCCACAGTCCTCTGCAAGATGCCAAGCCTTCCTTCTTATCCCTTCAAGGAGATAAGACCTCTGGGCTCCCACTACGTTCAATAGGAATTGAATTCATTCCTTCCACACCATCCAAGGGAGCAAGCAAACACCTAGCACGTGGTTCAAAATGGAATGTGCTTTATCTATTTCTTACTCTGTCTCACAGAAGAGCCCTACACAAGGTCACATCTGACATGTTATTATTAGCTGGCACATTTTTTTCTCTCCCTTTTGATCTTTGCAGATGAGGAAAATTGCAACTGCAATCCAAATATCCACTGCCCTCACAGGGAAATGAGTGGGCAAATTTCATATGAAGATCAGATGCAGGATGGTCTAACCCATACATAACAGACAGACCTATGGACAAACTGCAGTGACTATACATATAAACTGTGATCAACTATAAAGCTCGCCAATGGTCTTCATGGACTGTGTATGCTTTCTGTGGGGCAAAACCTCAGTCCATTTCCCCATCCTCCTTATCAATCTAAATGAAGAATAATCACAAGAGAAACTGGGATCTTTCATCATCACTTCAACAGTGCTCTAGCATTAAGGATGCTAAGCACTGCTGTACGTAAAGTATAATCCAAGAAAAAACATGATACAAAGTTCAGGACCAAATAAAAACAGTTTACCTCTTCAGGAAAAAGTGCTTCACTTTGAAACACATCATATATGTAAAACTAGTGAAGTATGTAATACTCCTGCATTAATGAAGCAGTTTATCCATTTGCCCAGAATAAATGGCAAACAACCTGAAGGCAGAGAGACAACTTTAAAAATTCCAACACCATTTTTACTGCTGGTAAAAGTTTCTGATGCAATTAATGATGAAATTTAAAGTAACAATTCAAATTTTAGTTGACAGTTACAACTGGCAATGTTTCAAGCAGAACAGTGGCAAAGGTTGGATGAGAAAACAGCTTGCACAGCCTGAGCCCCAGATAATAAAATACATTATGTACAATAAACCAGTAATGTCACTGCAGTTACACCCCAAAGCTGAACAGTAATGTCACTGCAGTTACACCCCAAAGCTGAACAGAACAAACTTACAATTTTGCATAAAAGTCACAAAACTCTTTGTAGAGTTTTATTTCACTGTGCCTACGTTGCAGTTTTGACACCGGTTTCTCGCCTTCATTTCCCGCGGAGTTGTGAGCATTGGGAGCGACCTTGTACGCAACCTCTTCATCCTCTGGGATGGGGAAGGGCTGAGCTCTGTGCTGGAAGTCCATCTCGCTCTGACTGCTTTCCCAGGTGTATATATTCTATCCTTACACTGCAAAGAAGCTGTAGGCAAAGTCTGCAAAACAATATGCTGGACTTCCCCTTGTTCCCAGCGAAGTGATTTACTTTCACAGCTCGTGTCATGTAGCTGGAGCTACTCAGCACCCTGCTAGAGCTTCAAGTTAAAAGTTCAGCGGCAGGGCTGCGAGCCTGTCACGCTGAGATTTACTGAGGCTGGCTGTGCACAGAGGAGAACACTCCCCTGCCAGGCTCTCATGTAAACTCGGATACTGGAAAGGGTCCTTGCTGCTGGCTCCTGACAGAAGCTGCCCAGGAGAGCTGTGGTGTGAGTAACCCATGTGAGCAAATAAATTCACCACCAAACTTGGCTGCAGCTTCTTTCTGCTGAGGGGGCATGGAGGCAGAGTCCAACAATATTTTTCCATGGGAAAACCAACAGTGGAAAGCAGGAACAGAAGACTCCTGTCTCCAGGTAAATATTGCTTTAATGCCCATAGTGTGTTAATTACATTGTAAAAATGGCCTTTAATGCTCCACTTGTGTCTTCTAAGTCATACGTGTTGAATTTAGCTATTTATTGTCTTTCCTCCTGTCAGTACTTCAGACAAGGGGTAGGTACAGGCAGATGGTTTAATTTCTGTTTTGTTTCTCAGGCCATTAACAAAACTGGCAGGCATGCCATAATGGACACTATATGGAGGAAAACCAAACCTTTATTTCCAGTGATGTGCTGCATTTAGAACAACTATCCAATGTAAGAACACTAACTGAAGCAAGATTTGCAGCTAATAATTCAGACTCCTTCAAGCTCTCCCTCTTTGAAGCACAGTGCTTGTGGGATACTCAGCTTCCAGCACTTCTTAACTGCAGAAAAGGAAGGCTTTTGGGAAGCCCTCTGGAGTAACTAACTTTTGTGTTGAACTGTCTCAGCCTTGTTAGCAATCAGTTGAACTGCAGAACTGCATGCACTTTGTGCTCGTGACACACAGCACACTGGTAGCTGAAGAATCTGCTAGTCAGTGAGGGGGCATGAGGAAGCAGAGGATGACACGAAGGAGATGAGTAACAGGAACAAATAGAGAAACTAGAACTAAGATCAGAGAATAACAAAATCATTTAGATTGAAAAAGACCTCAAGACCACAGAGTACAACCATTAATCTAATATTGCCACGTTCACCATAAATCATGTCCCCAGGTGCCACATCTACACATTTTTTAAATACCTTCAGGGACATTGATGCTAACACTTCCTTGGGCAGTCTGTTCCAGTGTTTGACAACATTTCCGTGAAGAAATTTGTCCTGATCTCAAATCTAAACCTCCCCTGGCACAACTTGAGGCCATTTCCTCTTGTACTGTCACAGGATATGACAGAATGTCCAGTCAAGGCTACAATTTCTTAATATACCTGCGCCTTCCCTAGGACCTACCACAGAGGGTCTGGCTGCTGATGGTTTTTGGCCATATCTCTCACCACCAGCTAGGACAGCTTGTTCAGCAAGCATACAGCAGCCACACGCCACTCTCCATGCAGGCCTGAGCTTGTCAGCAGCCACCTTCCTGCAGCTCAGCCAACACAGTCCTATGCTGCTGCTTCTGCTGACAAATTTGTAGAATGGGTTGGGTCAGTGTCTTTCCTTCACTTCCCCTCAACAAGGAGCAACCCCCTAGGCAAGCTATTTCCCTGCGTAGGTGGAACTCAGGCAGCATGACCCTCCTTATTTGCCTGTCTGTAGGTGTGATTATTCACCCTATGCCAGAGCTACCAGGAGTCAAGCTCTAACAGGCTAAGGAGGCTGCACCCTCACCACTGACACAGCCTGGCTGCAGCTCAAGCCCTATTTTTATCTGTCATGGGGCAAGCTGCAGATGAAGCAATTACCAGGTTGTAGCCTAAGGCCACAAGGATCTTGCCAGAGCACTACTGCACTCCTGGAATAAAAGGTTTCTGCATTCTCTGAAACATGAGTGATGAAAATGTGCAGTGTCTGCCAACAGACATGCAGGTATAGTGATGCCAGTTCTTCTTCTTCCTCTTGCTTCCCAACACTTTTGGCACAGGTCAGTGCTGAGCTTCTGTGGATATAAAAAACTTCAGTGAGACTGACTGCAGTGGACTGAAAATGCTGATTTATCCAGGATTAGTAAAGGTGCATGAAGCCACTAAGATAATAAACAGCAAGTCAGCCTATCTCTTCCTCTTATCACTATCTTCTCAACAATTTCCTGACTCTTTTCCTATATTTTGTCCCAGATCACAGACAATTCTCCTGGGAAGATGCTGCTGCAAATCAAAAGTGTCCTGTAGAGACTTTCTCCTGGTGGACTACCACAATTTTGCAGTAACCTGAAATCCACAGGTGACCAATGTGGTTGGAAGCCACTTCTGCTGCCTCATATCCTCTTTGGTCAACAAGATAACATTTGATTGCTTCTTCAGCTTGCTATTGTGCAGTCTTCTGCATGGCTGTAGCAAAACAAGTAGTGCAGCAAGTTAGTGCAGTAAGATGTCCATCCAAAAAGCCTGATTTTATCTTCCTAGGTTTTGTCAGGAAGAAGTCCTTCAAAGTAATAGGATTCCATATGTGCAATAAGCAGAAGCTGCCTGGTTCTCCAGTCATACTACCATTGCTGCTGGAGGAATGACTCCCGATTTTTTCCATTAAACAAGAAGGAGCTTGACAGCAGTTTAGAACAGTCCTTTATGCTACTGAAGCAAAACACAGCTTCTCCTGTGGAGGTCTGGTAATCCACAAATCCAGAGCAGCTGGCCATCCTTCTCTTTTCTGACATTTTGTAGGAGGCATGCTGCCAAGATCTGAAATACATTGTTAAAAATACACTGCATTTTCATTAGGGAATTCTAGGTTACTCTGAGGTGAACCTGCCCATGGGGAGTGAGAAGTATGTAAGGGGTTGTTTTGCAGCAGCTTCCCAAGGGCATTCCTTGGGATATGGGACAAAACATAGCAAGCAGCCTGTTGTAATGCAGTGCTAGGGAGAAAAGAAGTTGAGTGTTTAACTAGAAAAGGTAGGTATGAAAGAAATAGACAGTCTCCTCGGGCACACTGAGGATCCTATCAGAAGCCAAAACTGGCGGTAGGGAAGGTGCTGAAGGAAACGGTAGAAGAGGGAGGGAGAAGTGTTCCACTGCGGTTACCAGAAGGGCTTTGGTAAACAATAGCAAAACCAGGCACGCTGCCTGATCCCTGCTGAAGGATGACTGCCGCCTCACTCCACGCTGCTCTCTCTCTCTGCACAGCTTCCCAACCTGGCTGCCCATGCTGCCCGGCGCAGACAGGGACTCTTACAGAGACGGCTCGGTGGCCAGCCAAGCCCGCTGAGCATTCCACACGGCCACAAATAGCCGTGTGCGGAGCAGTCACGGCTCCAAAGAAGGTGCTTGGCAAAGGCAGCTGCTGCCTGGCCAGCTCTTGGTGCCACCGTGACATATCGCTGCCCGCCGGCGCTGCCGGGACACGGGGACAGGCGGGGATGAGTAAGCACAGCGCGTCCCACCTCCTCCCCCGCAGGTACCAGTGGCTTCATCTCAATGATGCAGTAACAGATGCTATGCGGCGACTCTGACACGCAAAAAACAGAACACCTACAACAGAAGTTTGGCTGCAAAAGACGCGTGGGCTTGCAGTGCCCTGCTCTGATTTCTGCACCAACATTTTAAAGCACTAGTTGACCTTTTGTGGGGGTTTTTTATTGAAATTAAAAACACTCTTGGGATCTGGTTGCTGCAATTGTTTATCTCTTAAGCAATAAAATACTTTCCGTGTTAAGCTGGTCTCCTAAGGCATTTTGAAAAAAGTATGAATCTTTTATATCATTCAAATGCACATTTTACAGGTAGGATTTTCACATGTGCTCAGCACTGCTCTAACTACTTTTTCTATTAAAAACATGGAAAACCATTGTGAAACCACTGCAGTAAAAATCGGGTGAATTCTGAGTGTTCCTGAAAGTTTCATTCTTTAGTCTTCACCTCAAAATGCGTAATTAAGCTTATGTGGTGGGAGTTCAAACAGGGCAAACAAAAAGGCAATTCTAGTTGTTTCATATCCTCCAGTATAAATTTATTCTAGTATAAACATGTCCAAAAAAATGCTTTGGTCTCCACAAACAGAGAAGGTTCACATTCCATCTCTCCATAAGGAAGTCAATATAACTGGAACAGACAGGTAAGTAGCAGCTTCCCACACAATGTTTATCAATCATTCAGGCACAGTGAAATATCAGCCTCTGACAGAATTTGTAGAAAGGGAGAGCAATATGCAACTACAGCATTTCCCTGTTATAAGTAATATTTCAGCAAAGTATTGCGTTTTCTTCCTGCTGGTTATTCTATTACCAAATGAAGCCATGCTCTGTGTAAACCAAGTAATGACTTCTGTGTACAGATATTTGATACTCTTTAAAACACTCATCTCTTCCTCCCCCACTACTGTTTCTTTCAATCCTGTGCAGACAGAAAAACAAAACAAATAGTATCATATATGAGAATCTCAGGAATTCCAATAATTTTGTGTTGCGACACAGAGACACAGCATATTATTGGTTATTCTTGAATTTTGCACCCTGTGTAGTCAACTGCATGCCTACTTCATTATGGTATCCAAATTCTGTATCCAAATTCCTCAAAATCTATAGAATTTGAGGATGCATTTGCACTGATGCATTTCATATAACACTTACATCCTCATTTCCAATTTAAGAATAATAAAAAAGGTCAGCCACTCAATAGTAGTGGCTGCACATCAAATGTCCCTGAGACACTCGCTGTGAAAAGAACCATCTTTTCAAGCCTGAAAAGAGAAGCTCAAGTCCACCAAGCTCCAAAAAATTGACAGGACAAGAAGAAACAACCTCAAGTTACATCAAGGGAGGTTTAGACTGAACACTAAATTCATTTTTTTTTTTTCATGCAAAGGGGTGTCAAGCATTTGGAACAAGCTGCCCGGAGAAGTGGAGTAGAGTCAACATCACTGAAACTATTTAAAAGACATGTAGATGTGGCACTTGGGGGATATAGCTTAGAGGTGGACTTGGCAGTGATGGGTTATTGGTTGGACTTGATAACCTTAAGAGGTTGTTACAGCCTAAATGATTCTATGATTGTAAAATGATGCAGTAACATATTTCTCTTTAGGGTAATATTGGTTTCCTAGCACTAATATTCAGTTCATGTCATCTGTCACTGACATCCACCAAAAATCCTCCACTGAATCCTCAGTGTAATGGCAAATGCCAGCCTTTGATTCTGCCTGAGTCATCTGCCTGCACTATGTGGAACCAATGTTTTGACAAGCTGAACACCATGACCTGAGCAGTTCATCCAGGAGCTATAATTAATACTGTGACTCAATGTAACACCCCAGCAATCAGGAGAGACTTCTAGTACATCCCTGCAGCTCCTTGTAGGGCAGAGAGAACTGCAAAACCAGGCCTCCCACCCACAGCAACATCCTTATTATAGTCACATCTCCACTGGAGACACCATGCTGAGGACTGACCTTCAGCTTTAGTAACCTGCACATCACACACATCATTACTTTATTACTATTAATCTACACTTTCAGCAACATAATCTCTTCTCACCTTCATTAGTTTCAGTTTCTATACGATGAGGTGCAAAATTTTTCATTGCCTGAATTAATTAATTTTGAGCAGAAGTACAATGTGTTACAGAAAACATCTCAGCTGTTGCTCTTCTCTCACACACATACCAATTTGTAATTATTAGTCACTCCAGGTTTCAGTTTCACATTTTTCTCTTCCTACATTCACTACAGCATCACCAGGCTTTAAAACCTGCAAAGGATGGCAGACAGCTAAGCCATCTGCAGTTAATACCACAGCATGAAATAATAATAGCCCTAATATTCAACTGCCAAGAGAACAACCAGAAGCAGTTTATGTTCCTAACACCCAAGAATGAGTAATGTGTCAACAAATAACACTAACACAAAATAGCATTTGGACTTTATTACAACAGTCTTAACATTTAGGGTAATGCAAACTAAAGGTCTTCATCTTGTACTTTACATTTACTAGCTATTCAATGTTGGTAGCACACTTGCCAAGTAAACATGAGTGAATTTCAGTAGCAGTTTGTGCAAAGGAAGACTTCTATGCATTTTTCTAGCAGAAGGTTTGGCAAGATTTTTTTTAAACCTTTTTGCCAGGTATTTTAAAGCAATGGTTTCTATCCCAACACCTGACTAATCCTCAATGAGCAAAGCAGCAGTGGACAGTTACAGTATCTATTCTATCACTTATGAAGGAAGAAGATGCAGAAGTTACCCCTCACAAGAATATACTGTTGGCATCATCCAAAAGAACAGCAGTTTTTTTTGCTTGACAGAAGAGAAGTAAAGGAAAGAGGGAAGATGACAAGAGTTTGAGCTTACAATCAGAGGGGCTCAAGCCCTGCCAAGCCTCCTTCTGCTTTGCTACATACCCTGGTGTAATCTGAGGAGTAGCTTTAGAAAACATTTGAGTTTAAAACTACGCAATTACTTGTACATTTCAGGCAAAATTCATAACCTGCAACTTGGCAGCTGATGGAGCTTTCCTATTCTGAAGCTGCACTTCTACAATGTCCTTTTAAAAAGTATATATATGAGGACCAACTTTGCAATGTATCAGAAATATAGGGTATGTTTCACTTCAGCTTCTTAAGTCAGTGAGAAGAAATGTACAAAACAAAAACTGAAAAGCCAAATATTGTGCAGGACAAATAGCTTTCAATGCAAACTTCCTATACTGGAACAAGGGGACCAGCCAGGGCAGTTTTGAGGCATGACTGAGTGGTAGTCCAATAGCTGCATAGAAACAGAGTTCAAAAGGTAGACTCACCTTGGGATCAAGAACTTTATGGTCAATGAAGAGTGTGGCATGCATGGATTTCACATGCTAGAAAAGACAAACATCATTCCACCTCTGCTCTACCTTTGTCCACTCATTCCTTGCTGGAACAGCTTGAGTATTTTGAATCTTTAATTTAAAAAGGCACAAGCTGAGAAATGCTGCCAGGTATTGCTATCCGTGTCTGCCAGTATGTTACTTCCTTTGAGGCTAATAGTAAAAAGTTTTTAATTAATTTTTTTCCTAGCTCTATTATGCCAGAATATATGCCAAAATAGGCAGCCAGAAACAGCAGAAGAGCTACAAGAAAATATGTCACAAAAGGCAGAACCCAAATTTCTTTTCCTGGAGAAAAAGCTCAGAAATGTTCATCTATAAAGACACATCACAGGATGACTTAGAATCTGCTGGCAAAATTGAGCAATCATCAAAAAACACTGCCCACAGAGTATTATATATAAAAACATCATTTCAGAATTCTACCAGCAACTACCTAAAATGAGAATTTCTACAAAGCTGGACAATGGCAACCTAAAGCTGCTATGACAAATCAAGCAAGGAAAAAAAATAACACAAAACTGTATGTACTACACCATCAGATAATACACATGACAATCAGAGCATTGAGTGACTTAATAAATGCCCTGAGAACGCTGGGTGCAAGGCAAGACCAGAGGAGTTAATTGAAGGAAAAAACACTGAGTGCCACAAACTCTGTAAGAAGTCCCTGAGCCACAGCAGGTGACAAGCTGGGGTTACTACCACGAGCAATCCCATAAAAGGCTCACTCTTTCCTTCTACCTCCCTCCACAGGCATCAGCCTTTGGCCATCCTCAGAGGCAGAATACTTGGCAGGCTGTTCCCATGCCTGGAGAGCATCATGTAAAAGGCTCATGGTCCTCTTGAGGACACTGTATCAGCTAGCTTCAGGTTTCCCAGAAC